TCACCCAGCCACACCAGCCGAAAGTCAGAAGAATAGCTAAGCATAAAGAACCACCATGGTGAATCTGGGTGAGACCCTTCCTTCCCTCTCTTCACCCTAATTACTTTCCTGTAAAAAGCCTTTGAACTTCTTCCCTGTTTTAAGAGAGCAGCGTTTGTGTACTTGGGAAAAGAGCTTGACAAAAGAAATAAAATACCGTAAATGCCGGCGTATAAGGCGACTTCCGCGAGTGCTGAAATCGGCGCCAAAGACAGGGGTCGTCTTATACGCCGAGTCGTCTTATACGCTGGAAATACTGGTAGTTTCCGGTGTATAAGACGACGTTCTAGGAATGCGGCCCGGCTATAAAGACAGGGGTCATCTTATACGCCGGGTCGCCTTGTACGCCGGCATTTACGGTAGTTATTTTTTATTGACTATTTAATTTTTTGGATACCTAGGGGTCTTGAAAAAAAATTCTATCATAGAACATTATTATTACTCTTTTTATTATGTTGGAGATATCTGTTTTTCTTTTTCTATTTTTTTTAATGAGATAAAATTTTATTAACTTGGAAAAAAGATTTTACAATCCACTGAGGACATCTTGTGGCAAAATTTTCATTGCAATTGTATTTTCTTTTGCTATTTGAAAATGAATTTGACCTTCAAAGGATAATAAAAGGGAAAAGATAAAGAACTTGGAACAGCTGGGTGATGAATTTGCCTACTAGAAATTTTGGAGGTGGATATTTGTTGACTCTTACTAAATACAGCCTCCACTGAAAGATTAAAAGACTATTTCACCACTGAAATGGAGGAATCCTACCCACAGCTTGATTATGAATTTATACTGAAAAAAATCTTGGAAGCTACGGCGTATATGAAATCTTGGAGAAAAATTAAAGAGGATATCTCAGAACCACATACTGATTTTCAAATTTTAATGGACCATACTATAGGCCAAAGAACAATAGAGGAGGAACAGAGTAATCCCAAAGAGGCCTCCACTCAACAACATATACAACCTAAAGAGAAGGAGGAATTACACCTACAACACAACTATGAACTTACACCAGGAGAAATCATGGAAACTATTGAGCAAATCAATTTTACACAACCCCATATACAATCCATGGAGAACTTTGATGATCAAAGAATAACTTTAACTGAGTTACCTGAATTCTTAAAAACAACAGAAACTGACATCCAGACATAAGTCACTGAAAATTGTGATAATGTGAACAATCAACTAGTAATTATAACATGGAATAAAACTGATTATACCATTCAGATGACATTGGAAGAAAGGGAAGAGAACTTTGACCAGTCTGAAATGTCAAGAAATACTTCTATTTAAATTTTGAGGTTTGATGACGCAGAAGCTTTATTATGGAAACCAGTTTGGCACAGAAAGAAAGCTAGAGTTAAATTTTAAAATGTGTTTCAAAATTTCATCTAATGGGTTAAAAAAGCTTTAGAGATTTTGAACTGATTTAATAATTAACGGAGTAAGTGAATTCTGTAAAAGGATATTTTTTGTAATAATATTTTGTATTAGATATGATAATTATTTGGAGGGGTAAATTTTATCTAATGGGTTAAAAAGATTTTCTACAGATATAGATTGCTTGATAGACTATGCATTTAAAATAGATAGAAATGTATCCTTTGGACTGATATTTTTATTTGAAATAAGACAATTATTTTGTAATAGAAGGAGAAAAAGAGGAATTTGTGATAAGAGAAGAAATGGTATTAATAAATGATTTATTAGATTAAGAAATAGATTATATGTGGAAAATATAAGAATGTTATTGTTGGAACAATATATTTATTTTAGATAGAATTATTATGTTAGGGAAAAGGGAAATGAGGGCTACCCAAAGTGTTAATAATATGTTCATTTAAGGCTAATTGGAATATGGTAATTGCAAATTAGGAAAGCTTAAAAACAGGACTTGGATTTTTATAACTGAAATGTGATTGATGACTGATTTGATTGATTGAACTCTATTTAGAAATGTATTAATTTGAATATGTAATATTATATGAGGGAAATGGAGAGGGAACTTTTAATGAACTAACCTGAGTTATATATGCATGATTTTGCTTTTGGATAATTGATACACCCATTACCACGTTGTTTCTTAAGCACTCTGATGTAAAAATTAAAAAAACAATAAAATTTTCTTTAAAAAAAAGATCACGTGACGTGTTAATACTGCTTTACAATGCCTTGGTAAGGCCACACTTGGAATACTGCATCCAGTTTTGGTCGCCACAATGTAAAAATGATGTTGAGACTCTAGAAAGAGTACTGAGAAGAGCAGCAAAGATGCTTAGGGGATTGGAGGCTAAAACATAAGGAATGGTTGCTGGAATTGGGTATTAGTTTAATGAAAAGAAGGACGAGGGGGGACATGATAGCAGTGTTCCAATATCTCACGGATTGCCACAAAGAAGAGGGAGTCAAGCTATTCTCCAAAGCACCCGAAGGCAGGACAAGAAGCAATGGATGGAAACTAATCAAAGAGAGAAGCAACCTAGAATAAGGAGAAATTTCCTGACAGTTAGATCAATTAATCAGTGGAACAACCTGCCTCCAGAAGTTGTGAATGTTCCAACACTGGAAATTTTTAAGAAGAGACTGGACAACCATTTGTCTGTAATGGTATAGGGTTTCCTGCCTGAACAGGGGGTTGGACTAGAAGAGCTCCAAGGTCCCTTCCAACTTTATTATTATTATTATTATTATTATTATTATTATTATTATTATTATTATTATTATTATTGCTATTATTGCTATTATTGCTATTATTGCTATTATTACATTATTATTGCTATTGTTATTATTGTTATTATTATTACTATTATTGGAGGAATTTACAGTGGAACTTATTTCTCTGTGAATATCAAGATGATTCTTTGTTCCCCTTACATGAAAAAGCTTTTTTTGTAGATTTGCAGATTGGGTTCTGCATTTTTATCCCAATATGGTTTTCTTGAAATGTTCAGCCATGCTTAATTACCAAATCATTAGATTCGTAAGCCGCCTTTCCCTCAGCAATTCTACGGGGCATAGATAGACCTTCCCCAACTTATTGTGGATTGAATAATATAGTGGAACATCAAGACTGTCTCTATTGTTTCATGGTCTTCACTGATGAAATAGTAATTTAAAGCAATAAACGTGTCTATTCTGCATTCATTTAGTAATTAAGGATTACAATTTGGTGTCAAATTTTGGAAAGGCTTAGAGAGATACATTGAGTAATTAATGAGAGGCAAGTATTGGGCAAAAACCTTGCCATGAATTTGATATGAAAATGTATTTATAATCACTGGCATTATTTCTTTATGTTACTTCTGGTGAAAAACATAATACCTATTAAAAAGGTCTGGAATATGATTTTTGTTTTGAATTTGTATTGGTAATTTCACATGGTTTGTGAATTATAGGAAAACACCATCAGCCATTATGTGCAGTGATTTTTTTTTCAATGATTATGTATTAGTACTCTTTTCAAAGGATTTTTCACCATGGGGAGGGCCATCCATAAGCGGTAAGAGAAAGTCAATGAGGCAATTATGACTATAAAGCTGCACTTCTTTTTTACACAAATGTGTATGTGTGGGGCGCCAGTAATGCTTCAGTTGTGTGGTCTCATATTGACTTTTTTCCCCACATACTTTCCCAGAAGTGCCTCTGAAAGTGGGAAATATACTTTGCTGTACTATATATGACCAACTATAGGTCAAAACCAAGAATAAAGTATTAAGAAAATGTTAACTTCTGAGATTTTGTTGCTGCTTTATAAATGTTATCAATGAATGTTTCTTTTTCAGGCATACTAGGGAGTGACATAAGTTAACACATTTACATGGAGTTGTTGCATTCTAGGAAGATTCACATTGTTTAGTACAAGTCAGCCGATGTCCCTGGTATAATCCGATAGCTGTATATTTCAATTCCCATTACTTAATAGTAAGAAAAGCTTCAATCCTTGATCTGATGAGACATAAGGCTCTGTCAAATTCCAGCCATCTTTAACAGCTCAGCTGAATTAAAAAAAATTACTGCTGCAAGTAAAATATTTCGTGATGCACTTTAATCTATTTAGCCAGTTGAAGGAAGTTTGTTGTTGTTTTATTTGAATTAAATCTGTACTATTATAAAATGTTCAGGTGAATGCTAGTACATATTTTGGCGATTCACCATTCATTGTCACAAGAGTTGCAGTACAGTAGGTAGACCTGGATAGGAAGTTATGGTCTTATAATCAGAAGAAATAAGTCTAAAACTATTACTTTATTCAGGTCTTCCTGAACTGTTATTTTATCCAGGTCTTCCAATGGGTAACAGTGTGGTAACCATTTATAGCACTGGAAAACAAGCTATTGCAGTCATACTTTCACTTATATAAGGAATGGTTGCTGGAATTGGGTATGTCTAGTTTAACAAAAAGAAGGACGAGGGGGGACATGATAGCAGTGTTCCAATATCTCAGGGGCTGCCACAAAGAAGAGGGAGTCAAGCTATTTTCCAAAGTGCCTGAAGACAGGACAAGAAGCAATGGGTGGAAACTAATCAAGGAGAGAAGCAACCTAGAACTAAGGAGAAACTTCCTGACAGTTAGAACAATTAACCAGTGGAACAACCTGCCTCCAGAAGAGGTGAATGCGCCAACTCTGGAAGTTTTTAAGAAGAGACTGGACAACCATTTGTCCAAAATGGTATAGGGTTTCCTGCCTGAGCAGGGGGTTGGACTAGATGACCTCCAAGGTCCCTTCCAACTTTATTATTATTATTATTATTATTATTATTATTATTATTATTATTATACCAGTTTACATTGTAGGTATTTAAAAATTGCACATTGAAGGTTTGTTCAGTGCTGAATCAATGTATTAAAAACTTAATAGTGAATTTCAGGGGAAATTGTTCAGCAAATTCTAAACCAGAAGGTGCTATAGGTGCACTTAAGATTGATAGCTTCTTTTTCCCACTGATTTTATAGGTCATAATGACTACATGTGCCCTGCTACCAACCAGTGTACCATTGACAAGAACAGAAGGAAAAGCTGCCAGGCTTGTAGGCTCCGAAAATGCTATGAAGTTGGAATGATGAAAGGTGGTATGTATGACACTATAAATCTTAATCTGCATTATAAATATTTTTCATCCTCTGTAATCCCACATATGGCTAACTTTTCAGTAATTAATCCCACTGCATCTTGTAGTAATTACTGCCAGGTAAATTGGTGTTTGGTTACAGTGCAATTAACTTTTATCTTCAGTGCATAATGCCTAGTTTTGAAGTTGTTACACAATCTCATTTTTAAAGGAAAGTAATATATAGTTGTGGATAAGTTAAGAATTTTAGATGTCAAAATACATTCCCCCAAATTGAGTTCAACATACAGGTAGTCTTTGACTTACAACAGTTCATTTAGTGACTGTTTGAAGTTACTATGGCACTGGAAAAATGACTTATGATCATTTTTCACACTTATGACCATTGCAGTATCCACATGGTCATGTGATCAAAACTCAGATGCTTGGCAACTGACTCGTACTTACAACGATTGCAGTGACCCCGAGGTCATGTGATCACCTTTTTGGACCTTCTGTCAAGCACAGTCAATGGAGAAGCCAGATTCATTTAACAACCATATCACTAACTTAACAACTATAGTGATTCCCTTAACAACTGTGGCAAGAAGTCATAAAATGGGGTAAGCCTCACTTAACAATGTCTTGCTTAGCAATAGAAATTTGATGCTCCATTGTGATCGTAAGTTAAGGACTACCTGTATCTGTGAACATACACAGTAGTGTTTTTAAAAAGTACCAATATATCTTCATGTACATGCCCATATGCAGATAAGCCCACCCAAAATAATAGTATTAACCAAAATACTATGAAAAATACAGGCTGTCTTATCTGTGAGTGGTACATTTGTAATGGTAGTTTTGTTAAAATTTGAGGTCCAGCTTATTCATAGATGGGATTCTATATGAGTATATATTGTAAAGCTTCCCTCCTTTCCCTCCCCCTCAAAATAAATTCTGGATCTATGTTAATTAATGTTAGGTTTTCTGCCACTCTGTAACATCTAAATGCAAATTGTGAATGGGGCTGATGATCCTCATCTTCCTTTAAATGGACAAGTGCTTTTGATTAAATGTTTTTTCAATAAATGCTATGAAAATGAATATGACTTAAGACTAAATCACATATCCTTTTAGGTTTTGATGATGAAATGTTGCACACATGATAAATAATGATTTCCCTTAACTGGAAATACAATTTCTGTAATGGAAAAATAAACATGGCTGATAATTGCCTAGATGTAAAATGTCTATTATTAACTCATAGGATGGTGTTTACAAATAATCATTTAACTGGTGCTTCTTATAAACTTTGATTAAAAAGAGAAAATATTCCTTAGATCTCATTATCTTTTCTAGTACATTTTCCAGTATTCATTTTAAAGGCTATGTCACATGTCAGCCTACCGGAGAACTAAACTCATAATTTATTTGCATTTTGTTACTGAGGATGATAATCTTAATCTTACCCAAGCAGAACAAAATTTAAGCATTGTTACTAAAAGCAGTCTTTTAGAAGTGATTCATTTATTAGTTAATTAATTAAATGTATGTTTTTTAAAAAAAATATTATTAGTCCATACTGAAGAAGTTTGCAGAGACTAATTATTTTAGAGAAACATCTACATTCACATGTAACTCAGTGAAAATATTTTAAATTAAAATCATTAGCTATTGATTCACAATGATTGTCTTTAAAGATGGACATTCATTCCCTATTGAAAACAGTTCTTTAAAAGTTTATCTTTACCCTTTCCCTGTTTTCTGTCATTGTATGATGAGATTATATAGAATGACAAATAAAACAAGGGAAACAGATTTTTTTTCCCCCAGAAACACAGATGCATTTATTTTAGTGCATCATCTGAACGGATTCCAAGAATTCTAATTTGGCATTCAATTATTTTGTGCTGTAGTGTTACAGTATACTTAAACTAGTAAAAGAGAAAAGTGCAGAAAACTATTCTATTGCTCTGAATTGACTCTCTATAATGTCTATGAAATAAATCTGTTCAAATGCAAACTTGTATAGGTTAAGGGCATCATTACACTTATTAATACTTATGTATTTGCAGAACCAGTTAGTTGAAATATCATTGTCAAAATAAATGTTCCTTCAAAAGACTGTTCATCCTCTGCATACACAGAGTATGCTTGTTATTTAAATGTTCTTCACAGTGAAAATCTATGATTATGTCAGCTGTTCACTTTTCTATCATGTAAAGGATATACTAAATGCAGAAGTGATTTTGCAGAGCTGTTTACTCTAAATATGCTACTGGCTAATCAAGTGCATATAGTCCAGGCCATGGTTTTGCTTCTGTATTTATAAATTTGCTTTTCTCTGACCAAAATCCCTGTGAATGTAATTTGGCTATGAGATTAAATGAATGATGAATATGGAGGTAAAGTTTAGAATAGAAGCCTTTGTATCTCTTAAACAAAAGGTCACATGTAAAATTAAAACAGATATCTCTGAAGCTAACTTAGTCTCTTCTGAAATAAGGGGAATCTTTTCTCAAACAGAGCAAATGTTGTTGTTGTTAATTGCGAAGTCGTGTCCGACCCATCGTGGCCCCATGGACAACGTTCCTCCAGGTCTTCCTGTCCTCTACCATCTTCTGGAGTCCATTTAAGTTCACACCTAACTGCTTCAGTGACTCCATCCAGCCATCTCATTCTCTGTCGTCCTATTCTTCTATTGCCCTCAATCTTTCCCAGCATTAGGCCCTTCTCCAGTGAGTCCTTCCTTCTCATTAGGTGGCCAAAATATTTGAGTTTCAACTTCAGGATCTGGCCTTCTAAACAGCAGTCGGAGTTGATCTCTTCTAGGACTGATCGGTTTGAACGCCTTGCAGTCTAAGGGACTTACAGGAGTCTTCTCCAGCACCATAGTTCAAAGGCCTCAATTGTTTGGCGCTCAGCCTTTCTTATGGTCCAACTTTCACAGCCATACATTGCAACTGGGAAAACCATGGCCTGGACTATATGCACTTTTGTTGGCAGGGTGATGTCTCTGCTTTTTAGTATGCTGTCTAGATTTGCCATAGCTTTCCTCCCCAGGAGCAAGCGTCTTTTAATTTCTTGGCTGCAGTCTGCATCTGAGGCAATCTTGGAGCCCAGGAAAATAAAATCTGTCACTACCTCCATTTCTTCCCCATCTATTTGCCAGAAATTGAGAGGGCTGGATGCCATGACTTTGGTTTTCTTAATGTTGAGTTTCAACTTTTGCACTCTCCTTCTTCACCCGCATCAAGAGGCTCTTTAGTTCCTCTTCACTTTCTGCCATTAGAGTGGTATCATCTGCATATCTTAGGTTGTTGATATTTCTCCCGGCAATCTTAATTCCAACTTTTGATTCATCTAGCCCTGCCTTTCTCATGATGTGCTCTGCATATAAGTTAAATAGGCAGGGCGACAGTATACAGCCTTGCCGGATTCCTTTTCCAATTTTGAACCAATCAGTGGTTCCGTGTCCAGTTCTCACTGTTGCTTCTTGACCCGCATATAGGTTTCTCAAGAGACAAATGAGATGGTCTGGTACTCCCATCTCTTTAAGAACTTGCCACAATTTGTTGTGATCCACACAATCAAAGGCTTTTGCATAGTCAATGAAGCAGAAGTAGATGTTTTTCTGGAACTCCCTAGCTTTCTCCATGATCCAGCGTATGTTGGCAATTTGATCTCTAGTTCCTCTGCCTCTTCGAAATCCTGCCTGTACTTCTGGTAGTTCTCGATCCACATACTGCTGGAGTCTAGCTTGTAGGATTTTAAGCATAACTTTACTAGCATGTGAAATGAGTGCAATAGTGCGATAGTTTGAACATTCTTTGGCATTGCCTTTCTTTGGAATTGGAATGTAAACTGACCTTTTCCAATCCTGTGGCCACTGTTGAGTTTTCCAAATTTGCTGGCAAATTGAGTGTAGCACTTTTACTGCATCGTCTTTTAAGATTTTGAATAGCTCAGCTGGAATACTGTCACCTCCACTAGCTTTGTTGTTGCTCAGATTTTCTAAGGCCCATTTCACTTCACATTCTAGGATGTCTGGTTCGAGGTCAGTGACCATCTCATTGTGGTTATCTGGGATGTTAAGCTCATTCTTGTATAGTTCTTCTGTGTAGTTTTGCCATCTCTTCTTAATCTCTTCTGTCTCTGTTAGGTCCCTGCCATTTTGGTCCTTTATCATGCCCATCTTTGCATGAAACATTCCCTTCATATCTCCAATTTTCTTGAAGAGATCTCTGGTCCTCCCTATTCTGTTGTTTTCTTCTATTTCTTTGCACTGTTCATTTAAGAAGGCATTCTTATCTCTTCTAGCTATTCTCTGGAATTCTGCATTCAATTGGGTGTATCTTTCTCTTTCTCCTTTGCCTTTCGCTTCCCTTCTTTCCTCAGCTATTTGCAAAGCTTCCTCAGACAGCCATTTTGCTTTCTTGCATTTCTTTTTCTTTGGGATGGTTTTAGTTGCTACCTCTTGTACAATGTTGCGAACTTCCATCCATAGTTCTTCAGGCACTCTGTCTATCAGATCTAATTCCTTAAATCTATTTGTCATCTCTATTATATATTCATCAGGAATATGATTTAGTTCATACCTGAGTGGCCTAGTGCTTGACCGTCTGGTGATGTCCATGTGTAGAGCTGTGTCTTGGGTTGTTGGAAGAGAGCGTTTGTTATGACCATCGTATTCTCTTGACAAAATTCTATCAGCCTGTGCCCTGCTTCATTTTGTACTCCAAGGCCAACCTTGCCTGTTATTCCGGTTATCTTTTGGCTTCCTACCTTAGCATTCCAATCCCCCATGATGATAAGGACATCATTTTTTGGTGTTAATTCTATAAGGTGCTGTAGGGCTTCATAGAACCAGTCAATTTCATCCTCTTCAGCACCAGTGGTTGGGGCATAGATTTGGATTATTGTGATATTGAATGGTTTGCCTTGGATTCGAATTGAGATCATTCTGTCATTTTGGGGATTGTATCCCAGTATTGCTTTTCCTATTCTTTTATTGACTATGAA